ATAATAGAATTGATTTTAACTGTTGCTATTATGGCTGTATTCAAAATTTTTGCACACTGGCACACACATCATTAGTGCCACCAGTAACTGAGGTATGTCGTCAGAAATGAATTCTGGGAGCTGAACATTTTATGGGGTCAGGAGTGTCATTATGTCACCAGACCATTTCTGACGACCTGGCAGCATCTGGCATGTCTGGCGCTAGACAAACCAAACAGATGGAGTTTTGCTGATGAGTGTTCCGACCACATTTTCTCAAAGCTATGTCACCAGCATGCTTTGTCCTGACAGTCCAGCACCACAGAGGCAGGATTGTCCAGCCAGCTTGGGAACCTACCTCTTTCCCAACACCTGCATCTGTTGCTTTACTGCATGAGGGCAGACTGTTGTTAGCCCTGTTCAAACCTGAGTGAGCAACACTGACCTGCTTGTTTTAACAGATTATATAGAGGGACTCCCTGTTGTCAGTGGCAGAGAGGTGAAGACCTTAATGATGCAGTAGCAATGCTAAATTGATGTGTTCATGTAATAACTGTGTGGCAGCTTGAAGTGAGGATGAGGTGCTTGCAGTAAGCTTGGAGTTTAATCAGCTAGGTGTGGCACCCAGGATGCTGAATTGGATGAAGTGACCATGAAGCAGCAAGAATTGCATGGGTGTAAAGATGATGAATCACTGAAGAAAAGGAGCTTGTGAAGGCTGTCAAGATTGGTGGCTCAGGTAAAGAGAACCCAGATCATCACCAAGATGTCAAGAGTCAAAGATTTCCAAGAGCGATGTGGTTTCGCCATTCTAAGGATTCTTGCCAGGTGAAAGATCAAAAGAGGGCCTGGATCCTCCTTGAGGAAAATCGCTTTTTCAAAAAGCAGGGTGCATAACCTGTTGGAGTTCAAAGAATACAGAGGAACGAGATGATGATTCAGAAATTCAGAATAAGGAGTGAGAGAATACACACAACATAGCTGTACAAATTGAGAAACTACAAAACACAAATAGCCTGTGGCATGTGGCAAATTGGCACCCGAATGACTAGTTCCAAATATGTGGACTGTTTCTCCTGCTTGAAACTGTAGAAGGTGATCTTCTATGAAATATGGTATACTCTACCTCTGATCCTCCTGGGTGCTCACCGAAATATGATAGTTGGTCATCACAGTCAGAAATTTGATCCCCACCTAGATTGTGCTCAGACAATCCTGGATTTTCTGAAGAGGTCTGTCAGAAGGTGTCCAACTTGTCTTTGGTCTGAAGCAATCGATCTAGGGATGCTGAAGTCTGGTCAGTCCAGTTCTCTGCTCCTGCTGAACCTCGAACTGGACTTGAAGTCAGGTTCAGCCAAAATCCAAACTTTGAACTGGAATTTTGGTCCAGTTCTCAAAAGTTCAGTTCAAAATTTGGTTCTGAACTGAACATCGGCATCCCTAAATGAATCCCTCTGATCCTTCAAGTCCTTCTGCTTCAGTTCAACTGCCAGGTCATTATGAAGGAGGTTGCCTAAATCTGCTTGAATTCCCTGGGCATCTGTGGAAATGGCAGAAAACAGAGTCTTGTCAAGAGCTTGAGAGAACTCTTGGTTCATTTCATGCTCTATAGTCATGGGAACATAGTTGATAATTCGCTAGGTGGTTCACTGAGTATTAGCCCTGGATCAAGCTTAAATTTGGACACATACTCTGTGAGCACCCTGAAAGTACCCTTGCACACCCACCATAGTCTCGAGCTCATCATGAGTTGAGTGACTCCCATTTGGGATGTGAGGGAAAGAATTCTATGGAAGATGATGGATGACAGGATGACAAGAGTTGGACCACAAATTGGGAGAACCAGCTGCCCAGACTAGGTTTGCAGCAGGATATAGACTGTATTTCCCCTCCATGTTCTTTGCTCTGCTTCAAGGGCTTCAATATTTTGCATATACAAAGGGTCACCTTCTCGGCATAGGTGTTTACCAAGAGCCTTGGAGGTTACTTCTCTGTGAACATCTTGTTCTTTGAACATTAAAGCTCTAAAATATCACAGTTGTGGGTGTCAGATTCATTGACTGGAAGATAAATAAAAATAAAAACCTCCTATACTGTTCGAGTTCCTTATAGCACCCGAAGTGATCATGAAGAAGCTTATCGAGTAATTCTGTGGTCTTGGAGAGGATTTTCTCGAAGAGGGTTGACCGATATTTGTGAACTCCGTCGTCTTTGTGGGGTTTGGTTTGCTGCTCCGAGTAGCGTGTTCAGATTCATTGAGTTAAATTAAAGAGTAAATAATGCTCTATTCGTTGATCTGGGTGCTGGTTACCAAGCAACCCTCCGAGTAATTAAATTCCTGTGATAAACAGGGTAGGCGACCATGTAATGAGAGTTTTCTCTCCTTACATTTCCTACTATTTATGGGGACTACTTCAGTTATCAAAAGTGTTATGTCTTTATTAAACTTAGTCTGCGGAACTCTGGGCATAGGAAAAACCAGACACACTCTGTTTCTCAAAGACACAAAGGTATGTGGGTGGATAACGCACCAATGCAATGCCTGAAGTCAGAGAGATGATACGTACCCGATATCCGTGACTAGGGGTAGTCCAGACGAGATTTAGGAGAGGGTTGAGCTGTCTAATAGGTTTTCAAGGGGTTTCTAATGCAACAAGACAGGTAAAGATTCACCTAAATTTTCTACATTTTCACCTCGCTTTAACGTTGCTTAACTTGGACCTTTCACTTTTCCGGCTCTGGTGTCATATCTCATTGTCTGGGCCACAGAAACTTTTTTTATTAAGATTTGACCGAGGTCGAAGAGAAAGAGCTTAAAAAAGAGAATAAGTTTCGATATAATTCTGGCCTGAATCATCTCAGGTAGGCAATGCTACGGGGAACTGGCGGGTATCCCGGTGCCTACCCATATCCGCGACCTGGAAGGCAAGATGCCCAAATCTTGAAAATCTGGTTGTTCACCAAGGGCAATAAAATGTACCACACGGCGAGTTGAGAGGATCGAAAAGGACGGATAAGGACGGTCACAAAATCTCACTGGAAAGGATTTTCGTAAGTTCGGGTTTGAATGAGAAATAAATGGGTGAGATGCTTGAGAAAGGAAAATCATCTTAATGTTACTCATCTGTCACTCCAGCACAATTCGGCTGGTCCGAAATCGAAATATTCCAATCATTCACTCTCCTGGAGACCAACCGAGAATCGGCGTTCCAGACGTGCATTATTTTGCTGACTTTATTAGACAAAGACCCATTTCTATCGTTCTGCCGGCAGGCAAAAAAGGCTGTCCCACTCTGACCCAGTGAACTTCGTTATTTGGTTGCTTCACTTCCATTTCTCCTGACATTTGAAGTTGGCACTCAGGGTGTTGCCCTTCAACACTTCGATCTGGAGACGCATAAATCGTTATGGATTAAGTACTGGTTAGTACATTTATTATTTAAATTTCCGTGACTCGAGACTCCAGAAGCGCACATCAGAAGATTGGCGCTTGTAATGCGGATCACAGAATTCTCCGTCCGTTATTGATAGCCACAGCGTGCTTGAGTCAATGGAAGCTTTAAGTGAATAGTAATCGCCTTCAACTCATCGAGGTAGTGTCTACTGAGTATCAATACAGCTCGAAGTCCAAACGAAAGTACATTCCCAATTTATTTTATCTTCATTTTCAATGTTAATTGGAAAACCAAAGACAAATGGAAGCAAGACTTGCAATGAATCAACCCCTTGAATTTCGTTTAAGGTATGAGCCCTGCTATTTTTCTCTTTTCAATTTCCTTCAACTCATCCGCTTTATAGGGCAGGTCGAGGTGCACTCACCCGAGTTGGCGAGTTTTGGTACCTAGTCCGCCTTATCGAAAAGGTGCAGGCTGGTTGGAGGGTTCAATGTTGGAGGGAGAACAAATTTATTACAGACGATGGACCAGAACAGCCGGGAGCATTTTCTATTATTAATCCGGAAGGTAGTATTGATTCCTTGTGGAATCACCGGGCTGGAAGGAGATTAATCAGGGTAAGAAATCATAATTATCTTTGATTAAGTTCATTGATCAGTTTCTCAGCTTGGCCATTGGAAACATGTGATTGAGACTTCAAGGGATATTTAGCGAACATGTCCACAATCCCATATACAGACAAAGTCAATGCTATCTTATCACCATTCAAATGACTTCTCAAGAATTTACTTACCTGCCGACCAAAAGACCTGAAGCATGAAACGATTCCGGCAAAATTATGGCTTGAAAGTGTCAAAAAACCAAATGATAACACTCTGATTCCATATTCCGGATCCTTGTCAATTGTGAAGAGCGCTCAAATTGCGAATTGGCTTCTCACTCACATTAACAAAGATGGGCATATATGACTTGGGCGCTTACCGATTGCACATGCCTTCACGCTGTATATCGTAGAGCTGGGCCGTAAAAGACGAAGGCGGCCAGACTGAACGATGAAGACCAGCTGCGAACGACGGAGGTAGCAAGGTATCTGGATTGATACTGATGGGGATGTTGTGAATGACGAGGGCAACTGAGAATGAAGTTGTGAACTAAAGTCTAAACTATAAACGGGCGGGATCACATTCACCAGAACCTCGAGACGAATTCATACAACAAAAACGAGAGCAGAAAAGAAAAGGAAGAAGAACGCGATAAGAAAAGACATAAAACATATTTTTTTATGTCGAAAAGCAGGAAGGAAGAACTCAAAGAGCTCGAGAGCGGCTGCATGTGGTGAATGTCGGGAAAATGACCGGCGCAGTCTAGAACGGGTACGGCGGGGGAGACTGCGATAGACGAGGCATCCAAGAAGGGAACTGCTCTGGTAGTGCGGTCAAGGGGTTTGTGTCCAAATCGGAGCAGTATGCCGGATTCGGTAAAAAAGAATCGTGTTTCCGCGGGTAGAACACTGTTGCGCTGGTGAACGAAAAAAATCCCAAGTATAACCACTGCACTATAGCAGCGGGTAAGACCCCCGTAAAAAGGAGACGCTGTAAGCAGTTAAACTACTTACGCGTCTCCTTGAAGTGCTACCAGGATTCGAACCTGGGTCTCGGGAAAAGTTGGAGCATCAAATTCCAGAGTGATAACCCCTACACTATAGCACCGTTTAAGTAATGCGTAGAAGTCCAGCAAAATCCGGTCTCAAAAACACCATATCTGGGCTGGACTTTATACAACAGACGTGAAAGTATTAGGACCGTATCTCCTCGGGCTTGTCAAACATCAGGAAACACGAAAAGGATACGTGGCTCTCACCAGAGGTTACAGCGGTTACAGTCACTAAGCGATCATATCTGTAGTGCCGATAGCCCTGGTATCCCCACATCATGATAGTTCTAATAGCGGGTTAGGTAGTTGTCCGTAGCCTTCTGCATGTATTCCATAGATCTATGTAGAACACTGATATTTTCTAATGCTTGAACACGCAAAGACCATCCCATATTACGAGTCCTATTTATAGGACTCGTTCTATTATCGATCTGAACCGGTCAAAAATCGCGAGGGCGTTAAGGTCTAACAAACCGGCAAACACCGCGTTCTAATTTTAGTTCCGCCTTCTTCAGCCAATCAAGCTTTACTGACCATTATCGTTGACGTTGAAACGTTCAATGCTGGTAGGCTCCTTCCCCATTGTATCTCTACTTTCTAATGATCCTGTGATTCCTGTCTTTTTCTCTGCCACCCTACAGCCTCGCACTCCGTGGGTGATATGGCCTGAGGAACTGTTCGGGGCGATCCTCAGGTGGGTTTAGGCTCTTATTTCTCTTGCACTTACTGAACTCGTTTCGAGGATCAACAAACCGTCCTGATCCAACTTTCCACCGGCAGAGCGCACCGTGGACCATCGGAGAAAGTATTAAGTAGGAGGCCGCGGTCATCACATTTGATATCACACATCTCCTCACTGCCTTCGAAGGAGATGGCACAACTGCAGCGGATTCTGCAGTCCGCAACTGCTTTTCCTTTCTGCAACTGTAGCACGGCGACAATTCACACTATCGGGAAAGTTCGTAACGTTTATTCTCCGAATTCCGATGGTCAGCTGAACATTTATTCTCCGAATTCCAATGGTCAGATGAACATTTGTTCTCCGAATTCCGATGGTCAGCTGAAGGTTGATTGAGTATGGAAAGTCGGACTGTCAAGCTTCAAAAGACGTTTCCAAACACGTTCTGCCATTTGATGCCGCCGGTTATGGATACAACTAAGCTATCTTTAGACGGTAGGGAGACATCATTACAGCTAAGTACGTTCATATCGATAGGCCGGAGTGAGAAAATTACACAGATGGGCGGAGTCGGAATCTGAATTTGTGCCAAAGTTGATCAGCGTGGGATAATACCCTCTCTCAATGATGCATCGCGATATCTCTGAAGATGAGAAGAAGATCACAAATGGGCCCAGTTACTATGGTTGTGGGAGTATAAAAGGAAAAGGAGAAAAATTCCCAAAAAGGAAGGAGAAAAAGAAAAAAAGAAGGGATTTCCTGAGACTTATTAGTACTATGATACTTTCTGCTGGTAAAATTCCAAAAAATCACCATAAAATATATTGTACATCATACCACATTTACATAAAAATTTTGATAGTAAAAAATGAAATTATGTAGATTTGTCAGCATTCTGAGCCCTCAAAAGCATTTGACAAGGACAAGAAGGGTGTCTCCTATCTTTTCCTTCACATTCCTTTGAACCACATGAACCACAGGCATTTTTGCACTGTTCCTTTCTAATTCTCCCTCCACATCCTTCAATTTCACACTTCCAACATTTCCTCACTGCCCGTTTCATACCAGCATCCTGTGTAAATTTTTCTGTTGGATGTTCAATGTGTGTATTTGCCCTGAGGTATGACTTGCACTGGGCAATACACTTGGTCCTGCAACTGAAATATTCTCAGGTGGGAAATGGATATTATAAAGCATTTCTTGGGTTTGATCAGCAGGATGACTGCTAATTAGTTGCTTTCCTGATGTTGGGGGCTGGGCCACTGGTAGAGTCATTGCATGATATATTTTTGAAGCTGTATTTCTTTCAGGGTTATGAATTTGAGCTTCAACTCCTTTCTGTTGAGATCTGGTTTGGGATTGTGTTGCAAGATGTGCAACATTTGTCTGCCTGATGTATAGTATGTTGTTAGATGTTCTTCAAGCTAGAAGTATAATTGATAAGGAATATTTTTGATATAAAATCAATTGGGTTGCTTACCTTGTAAAAAATGGTTATACCATCAGCATGATCACGATTCCAGATTTAGACACCAGTCTTCCAGTTAGGTTCTTGTTTATCCTGATTAAAGAATGGATCTGTTTGAATAAAAAGAGAAAATAACGGTTTCTCAGGAACAGTATGAACCACAATGACTGCAAATTGTGTCTGTTGTCATTGAGCAAGAAATTGATGAAGTGATTTTGAGATGACCTCAGGAATATTTGGCTGCATTAGGGCTTTAGTACACAGTATGGGTAGGATTGGCAAAATTCCTGAGACTTCAGATGTATCCACATAGAGTGAACCATTAGTCCAACCTTGAATCCTGTAGGAAAGTGGAACATAAATTCTAGTTTTCTCAATCATGGTTTGCAGTTCATCATAAAGCCAAATATCATCATGACCAATGAGTCTATGTCCAGATCAGTTTTTTGTTCCAACATGAAGATTGTGGTGAAGTTGAAAATCAGTCAGTCTGTTGACAGCATTACAAGATGAGATGGTAGAGTCTGGAAAACAGGCTCAAATAGAATGATGAACACCTCCTTCTGTAAAATTTGTGCCTCTGATACCCCGCCATACTGGTAAGCCATTTGTCTTTCTATCAAGGCCAACCTCATAGTAAAGTGGAATGCCAGGGGGATCTGAGAGATATCCAGCTTGAATCACTTTCAAGATATTTTGTGCACTCTTCCAGGCAGCTGGTGAAAATAAAGGTTGCCCAGTTGTAGAATCTTTCAATGGCCCATATGTTTCAAAGATGTTTTCAACCAAATCATAAAGTTGTTCTGGTGGTGGTATATACCGTCGAACAAGTTTCCAAAGTGATTTTGGCCAAAATTTTAATTTCTCATTCCATGATGACCCCTCAGATTTCAATTGTGCCTCAACTAATGCATGGTCCTCTTCATTGATTAAGAAAATTCCATCTCGCATTGCTCTTGCAAATTGTAGACGAAGTCCATGACTTTTTGGAATTGATATTCTGTCAAAAATGTGCCATGGATCCAGAAGAACCCTACTGCAGATAGGCCCTGCAGTTGTCCTTGAGTTATGCAGTTCAGTTAGTGTTTCATGGCCAATTTGAGCACTGACAGGATCATGTTCTGTATTTTGAGCTGATATTTCTGAGAGAGAATTTTGATTCATTTCAAGTTCAGCATCAGCAGTCCAGGAGTCATCAATGGGGTTTGGATTTTCAGCTTCCAGTTGCATTGCATTCATTGGTATCTCTGAACCAACAGTCTCTTGTATCACTTCATCACTTTCAATTTCTTGGATAACTGAAACATGTACTTGTTTTCTTTTACAAACAAGTACAAAAGGTGGTAGCCCAAAGCCTGTGAGTGCCTTATTTTGGTGACTCTCAATGATTGCTCCTGGGACAGAAACCTTTTGGATTTCAATAGCCACTAGTTTATCAGAAGTATATAGTGCAATATCATCAACAACTGCATTTTCTTCAGAATTTAATGAAGACCAGGCACTTTGGGGCAGACCCATCCTCTGGAGCTGGATTACACCATGTCTGACAAAGTATATCTGTTTTTCAGTGGTTCTGATAGTGATAACTATCAACAATAAATTGTGTTGTTTCTGACCACTCGTCCCAATGGCCGTGTTTGATAATATGTTTAAGCACTCGACAAGCTTTATCAATGCAGATATAGTCTGGACGGGATTCTTTTGTGGGGTACACCTTTTTTATAAAAGCCAGAATATTTGATTCTGACTCAGACTTTGCAAATTTAGCCCAGGCCTCCACTACACCACATGGATGACAGATTGTTTCAACACAATAAAAAGTTGCAGGACCAAAGAAATGCTTTGTTTTTTTTAGGTTCTGCAGATTTTTGATCATGTGGCTGAAATTCACGTTCTTCTTTTGGATTCCACTCTAGATCCTCTTGCTGACAGTTCAGCATTCTTTTTGATCCAGCTAAACTTCCAGCTGAGTGATCAAGCTTGTATTTTTGCCAGATGCTTTGATGTTCTGAGCAAGCCATAGTAGGGGAAACTGTGGTGCCTGTACAATCTCTAACACAGCACCAATTACCAAACTCATGTTCATGGAACTGACAAAATGCACCTCCTCGGTAATTTGCCAAGTCTCCTGTACAGCCATCATAAGCACAATGCTAGATCACTATGTCAAATCTCTTAATTAATGTAAAATATATGAAAGTACCTTAGTTCCATTGACCATGCCATCTATTACTCTGAGGTTCACATTTTTCATCACATTTTTTGTTTGACGTGAAGTAGTGGCAGTATTAGCATCTGACTGTTTAGTGACCCTCCTTTGCTCTGGTCGCATATCTCGCCCAAATGCACGCTTCCTTCGTCAGTCATAAAAAGGGGGATAGTGTAACGGTCACATGTCACATATTACATAATATGTTCACTCTTTCGTAGCATTCGTATACTGGCTTCTCTCGTTGAATCAACACAGTTCCGTGCCATGCTCACCTCGTTCCATCCTGAAATACCTTGCTAGACCCATTGCGTAACACTGCCCATTACAGATTGCAGAAGCAATGGGTGCACCGTTCTGTAACACATCAAGGTATGTTAGCAGAGCCAGTGAGGAGTTTAGATGAATTTTCAGTTGGAAAGTGGTTGAAAGAGTAGGCAGTGATGACTGGTTGAAAAAAAGGAGGCCGATTGTGAAAGGCAACTGAACCTTGAATGGCCAGGCTTACAAATCAAAGTCAGTAATAAATATACACAATGTCGGTACATAACTTATGCAACAGAAAATCAAGAAATGCGGCAGCAACTGTAATTACTCCACTGTTGAACTCCTAGAAATTCCTTCTTTCATATGATGTAAATTTGACCCATAACTGAAACCAAGGAAATAAAGGTCAGACGATTGCAGGAAAGTACAAGGT